TTATTAAATTACAAATACCACCAATTGTACCAAAAATTAAAGTAATATAATCGATATATAATGTAATGTTAGATAAGATCTGTGTTAATATTGATGCATAGCTACTCATTGTCGATAGATGTTAATCTATTGTTTTATATAGAAAATAGATGAAAGAAATTAAAATCACTACTTATTTCTTCCTTTTATTTATGTGTTCAGCAAAGATAAATGTCCTCACAGCTACAAAGACTGTCATAATACGATGAACTACTTATGTCTAGAATGATTCTAACGTTCATTAAATCTTATTTACTTACTAAACTCATAAGATTATTTAATATCTTTTTCATATGCATCGTTGATCTTATTCATTATTCATTAATGATATTCCTCAGGAAAAACAAACGCTTTATTAATAATGTTGAACTTTGATAATATTAAAAGAATAAAATTTCAATATCTTATTTTTTTAAAAGAAAAATCGACTTTTTATTTTCTTTTATCGGATTATAATCAAATTGAATATTTTCATATACATCTACGATGAATATTTATCGACAATCGTTACTAATAAGTCTCATCTCCATAGAAAAAAAGATCTACTAGAAAGATAGAAAAGTCTTCTTAGAAGTAGAGTAGAAAATATGGCAGAGTTCTTTTAATTTTCAATAAAGATCCAGTATATATTAAATATAATATTGTAACACAGTAACGAAAACAGTTTATCAAATGAATCGTTACATGATTAGTACTCTCGAATCGGTTCAAATAAGATTAAAAAATTGACGGAACTTATGTATACATACTTCTTTGTGTTTTCATTAAATAACGAATATTAGAGTTAAAGCACACCTATTTATAACGATCTTCTAGCTTTTTTTCTTTAATTAAATTTAGTAAGAGGCGTTTTCAGAAAAGAAAAAAAGATTATAAATATGTCGTCACGAGTTATCGCAACGTGATGATGATCTTATCATCGACATAAAATATAAAAAAATGAGAAAAATTTAATTACTTTGACTCGTAAGTGTTTCCGCATAAAATATCATATTCATTCTTTTGAACATTCATCACTAGCAATATCTCATCAAATATGCTTCTGTGATGTCTCGATACAATCTCTCTTGTTTACAAAATCATGTATATGAAGAGAAGCGGAAAGGAGAAAAACAATATAATTATACATATATTTTAAAATCAAAAGAAAAAGAGAGAGAAATGTGTAATAATAATATAAATTAACTATAAGGTGTAAAGAGAATCATTATCTATTAATGTAAGGAATACCAGATGAATCGAACAATAAATGTAAATGTAGCAAGATAGACAATTTCAACCGAGATACACTCATGAATACAAACAATTATCAAGACCTAGGACGAGTGTGGATGAGTTAAATACAAATGTCACATCCACACTCTCAACAGCAATCAAGCGATGCAAGTAATGTGACAACAAAGAAAATGAAAAACTTCTATTTTGGTCGTTTCAACGAGAGATATCATGCTATGCAATAAATAATTCAAATTATAGCAACGCAAAGCAGATGATACATTACACATGTTCTCCTGGCAGAGAAAAAAATTATTTTTCTATTCAATTTCTTCTTAAAATATGGTGTGCCCCATCTTTATCAATATGTCTTCATTTGTTTAAATTTTATAATTAAACAACAGTCATTTGAAACATAAAATAACAAACTGTAAACGTGAGAAACTGAAAAAAGAACAAAGAACAAAGGAATATCGATCATTATTAATTTAAGTGTCCCTGTTGAGAGTGCTCTTGTGTTTTTGTATTACCAGTTGAGACGACAATCGGATTTTCTTTATCATTTAATATATTTGCTCTGGCAGCCATCATTGCCATCATATCATTTTGAATTTGTTGAGATGGATGAAGTAGTATTATCCCTGGAAATGTTTCTACGTCAGCGTAATAAATTTGTTCATTCTCATAATCCATTTTATATATAGTTGCATCATCATTTCGTCCATCGTCATTTTCAACATCATCGTGACATGAGTTTTTCTTGAATCGACATCTTTTATTGACAAACTATTTTTTCCAAAATGTTTCATTAGTTTCTTCGATCCATTCAACAATTGTTCATTCTCATCAACTTAAATTCTTTTTTTAATGTTTAATCAACTTTACATGTAATCCGCTGATGGTTTTTTTATACAAATATTAAATATGTATTTTTTGAATAGCTGAACTCTTAGCCGATTTAATTTTTATGTAAAAGAGAATATCATAGTCATGGATAATTTCTCATTATACATTCATATATATTTATTAACTTCTGCTTTATTTTTTTGTGAGAATGTATTATATTGATCATACTCACCCGGATACTCTTATTAAGAATAAAATAAACGAACTATTTTTAATGTAAAAAATGTGAACGTTTGAATATTTATGTATAAAATGATGAGAGAGATTTTTAATTTTGATATGAAAAAAGTTTATTTAATAAAAAATCTCTTTCTTCATATATTTCAATGGATTGTTGTTTTTATTCTAAATATTGACTGTATTGAAGAAAAAACTAAGTTAAATGTCATAAAAATGAAGTTCATCGGGTAAACGTGTTAATATCATAAGAGAGTTTTTCTTAATGCTCATTGTCATTGAAACTATGTTTGTTCCATCACAGTGAATTGTTTCTTTAAGTTTACCATTGCAATCAAATAACAAGAATTTCTTATCCATAAATGCATAAACCATAAATTGACCATCTGCGAATGGAAGAAGGTCATAATTCATGTTAGGTAGATTTGTATAACAACTCAATAAATTCATCTGGCTCGAACTATTACGTAATTCAAAGGTGTAATAATCATATTCAAGTGGTACTCCATAATATTCATCTTTTCGTCCATATCGAAGAAGAACACCAAGACATGTTCCATCAGTATTAAATTGAATTGATACAATTTCTTGATTCTCTCGACATGAGATTGGTGTTTTGTATGTTTGAATCAATTTAAAATTATTCATATTGTATTCTTCAATGATAGCTCCTTCGTAACCACTACTTACAAGTAGTCTCTCACTATGACATGTACATTTCCACATTGTTTGTGAAAATTTTATAACTTGTTCAATACTTTTTGAACCAATAATATCTAATGAATAGAGTTTGTAGTCACCCAGTCCACTCATTATTAGAAATTGATTCAGATACGATGACCAACATAGATCAAACACGTCAAAATCTCGTTTTACATTTATCAATTCGTGTCCTGTCTGTATATCTATAGCTGCAAGACTGTGATTCGGACAGTAGAGTAAGTATTTGTCGTCATCAGTAGCCATGAAGGATCGATCAGTGTTAATTTTGATGCGTAATCTCGGTTTCGCATTGATGAGATTATTCAAATTCAATGGTGTTGTCATGAAGTTATAACGAAAATTTCCTATATATGTATTCGCTTGTTTGGATGAATAAACGAAACGAAAAATATTTTTTTGTATTCTATATTGATGTCGAAGAACAGAAAGAGAAAGAGGCAAAATATGATCAAGCACATGTGTGAAAGAAGCGAAAAAAATAGTTATAGGTAAAGATTGCAACAAACATAAGAGGTATAATCTTGAAAGTCATCAATTGACAATATATAACATAAAAGCGTTTTCATTTTTATTTCACATATTTGAAATTAGACACAAAGTAGATTTACATTCAAATAAAACACATTATCATTATTATCTCATTTTACATTAATAACAACAGACAATTTTCTTCTTGTTATACTCATTTCACTCTTTCTTTATTTTCAACATAACAATTTTATTAATCTCGTTATTGTCTTACCAATTAACAATTCTGATAACTAAATGTTATCATGAAATAATGTTTTATTTTGTTTTGTTTTTATAATTTATTTCTATTTGATGAGTCATATTTCCTTACACGTATTATATAGTATAATAGTAAAGCACATAGAAAACTTCGATCGCAGAGTAAAGTGAGAGAAAGAAAATAAATTTTCAAGAAGTCTTGAATTACAAAGGTAATCTATTAAGGTGGATTAATACATTTATTAATGAAATACTTCATATCAGTGAACGTTATTTTAAAATATTCTCTCTTCGATTGATAAAAACACAAAGAAAGAAAAAGACATGTTTAGATGTTTCATGAATTTTTGTCAATAGTTGTATACATAATCTTGAGGGTGTTGGTGGATTTTAGATGAGTGAAAATATGATACATCCTAGATACAGCCACATCTTCATTTAAATAAGTTCGAAAAAAAACCTATTAGCATACTTATATAATATTTGAATGATTTATTATTTTTACCGAAAATATTTTGTGCAATAACTTATGATATTTATATAAAGTACTGTGAAATAAAGGCGCATGATAGAATTTCTTTCTTGGTATTTCTGCTTTACTATGCAACTTAAGTTCATATAGTCTTCATGATAACTTTTCCGTTCTCACTCGCAAAAAAAAAACAAAATCATTTGGTGCCTCTTTTCATACTCTGCACATTAAACAAATAGAAATGGTATAAAATTAATATAACTGTTTAAATATTCGATCTACTAAATAAAAATGAAATCAATACTATAGATTCTGAATATTTAATTGAATATTATTGTTGAACGATATTGGTTATTGCTTGTTAATCTATGCTCGAGTGGGTGTAATGAAAATATACCATATAATCTCATCAATTTACGCATATTCATATTCTCAAAATACGTTCACAATTTCAATGGATTTATATCAGATTGCTAGATGTGCCCTGATGACATCTCATAGATATTTTCAACAACACTGTTCTATTCGAATCATTCTTAAACGCATCAACGAATGCTTAAAAAGAAGAAGAGTGTAAAAAGTAAAATATACAACATATTGTATAAAAGAATAAACATTGACTGAGTATACTTGAGGGTGTGGGTATGAGTTTGACAGTCAGTCACTATTCATACCTACACCCATATTCAAAAAAATAATGAATTTATTAAGTCAAAATTGAAAACTACGATAATCGTGCTTATGTACGAATTGCTATTGCAGCTGCAACTGGTTGCCGTTGTCGTGGATTGAGTCCTGTTACTTTCTTTCGTAATTCAGGTAATGAACCAAGACAGATCATTGGTAAAAGTAGAATAGGAAAGTAAGAGATGTAGAAAAATACTGTCCAAAGATCATGAGCCCAATTGGGTTGACCACATAAACGAACAAGATTGATCATTGTTAATGGACCATCAAAACATAAATATACTAACGACATAGAAATAAGATGTACAGTTAGTTTTCTCTGCTTTCGCCAATCTACAGCTCGTTGAATTCGATATTTTTGCCAAACAACCCGAACAAGTAAACTCATACTGAATATAACAATGAGAAACATAGGTATGATAGCGAAACCAATTCGTTCAATGAGCCCAAAAAATGGTAGTGAGCTATAACATTCACCCATACCACAAAGATCTTTTGTAAAATCAAAGGTATTTTGACAAGGTGGTACAAAAATTGCAATACCATAGAAAATTATCAGAAATAAAATGATAACAAATATTGGGAGATAGTGAAAGAGCAAACGTGTTCGTTGTGTAGCCATGATCCACGAATGAAAAATAAGAATATGACGTTCAAACGATACCCACATGAGTACAACAAGATTAAGAAAAAAGAAACCATAATCGATAAACCACCAGAAAAGACAAAGAGTTGAACTACTCGGACGAACAATACCCATTTTAAAATATTGTAAATGTAACGGAATATCAATCAATTGATAGATGAGATTCAGTAGAAGTATAACTATTGTTGTATGATTATAGAGAGCTTCTCTCAAACTTCGTTCTCTCAGTAAATGATAGAGTACGAACAATGAGCAGAGAATAGCAACAATATCAAATACAAGAAACAACCAAAAACATAACAATTGTTCGACTTCGTTATTTGAATAGAATACATCCTTCTCAGAGATCCAAACCATTTGAAGTAAGTATCTATTAGGATAATAATCTTACAGTTAATGCTAAAGAATGAAAATGAAACGATGATGGAATAAGAAATAAAATGCAACAAAGTGAAAAACTCATCAATCTACGACAGAAATCTCAATGACAGACTATTTTACATTTGGATGACGAAAGATATGAAAATGTACGAGGCAGGAGTTTTGTAACTGTTTTCAATGCGATGCAACATTAAGTTCTCTATTACTTGAAAAATTAGAATATATTAAACTGAAAAGTTTAGAAAATCCAGTTCTCTATCGTCTTTTAAATCGGATATTCACTATCGTATATGTAGAGATTAAACTGATCTATACTCGGGTGAATATATGCGCATGATTTATCTTGAATAAAAATGAAAAACAATATATATAACAGAGATGGGATCGATTCGTGTTTTTCTCGAACCGAACCGAACCGAACCGAACCGCCCTACTTTTTCAAAAACGCGAACCGAACCGAACCGGACCGAAAAGATCTCAAACCGAACCGAACCGAACCGAACCAAGCCAAAATTTACATGAAATTATTTAAAAACCATATGATCAATTTTAGACCACTTTGGACACACAATAATGTCTAATGATCAAAATCTGTTTAATAATTAGTAAGCGTGCTAATTTACTAAAAGAAGTTAATCTTTGCGTATAGTCTTGGTATGGAAAATATTCGTAAACTATTCCACTTGCAATTATTGAATACCGATTATGGACACGTAAAAACATAACTTGTTCAACTGTCATACAATTTTGTTTGAATATTTTTATTATTTTTGTCCTTATTTGGACACTACTTGTTTCTTCTAAACCTTCATAGTGCATTATGTCAGCGAGTACTATGATCGCCAAGTTTCGAATAAGCGAGGTACTGTACCCAGTTGCAAAGACTATATTATGATTGTGATAACTTCTAAGTCACTCATATCAGAAGAAACATGTGCCTTTGTATTATGGTTTTCAATGAATAATATTAGATATATCTTACTACTGGCTCTAATATGTTGCTTAGTTAATAGAATGACTTCATTTAACAAAAAATGAGTTTAAAATTATTTTATTAGTTACAGTGATTTTAAGTTAGTATATCCGACTTAAGCATCAGAATTTATTTTAATTTCCTAACTTATTTATAATAATTATTCGATCATATGCGATATAAACAAACTATACAGGTTGGAGTCTATATTCAGATTAGTTATCAGTACATTTTTATGATTGTTTTTCATAGCAATATCTTATATTCATATCTTTTAAAAAACTGTTAATCGTTCTAAAACATGACTTATGATTTTGGAGCTGGTTTATACAAAGGAATGCTTGTTTCGCAGATAACTAGAAGTGGTCATTTTAATTATTCATATGATGATCTTTTTAGACGAATAGGTCGGATTTATAATGAACATGCTTTAATAATGTAATAGTAGTTCCAGCAGTCGTCGTTTATTTAAAACAATAAATAAGATTATCAAATTTTATTTATCAGTTACGTTGCACAAGTTAAATCAGATCAAACGTTTCTGAGCGCCTTAATATTCAATGTTCAAAAAGTGGAAAAGCACCCGTTCTATATAAAAAAATTAGTCTTAACAGTTTATGCAAAGAATTTATGCATAAAAGTTATATAATCATGTAATTTTTGAATAGATCCAAACAATCTAACGAGTGTATTTGAATATCAAATTTTGAATGAGTTAAATGTCTCGAACCGAACCGAACCGAACCGCTCTACTTTTTCAAAAACTCGAACCGAACCGGTCCCATCTCTGATATATAATTGAAACATGATTAAACTTGTCTTTTCACATTATATAAAATACTGAAATTTCTTTCTTTATTCACCAAGAAAATATGCTGTCAAAGAGATTATGGTGTCATGCATACTTCACTTTTACATTATGTAGGATTTTATCATTCTATGTAGTGTAGAGAGGATAGAGAATAAACTGGTCAGGAATACCAAATCTGGAACTTCTCGAATACGTTTCATTTACGAAAAATTTACAAAGAATCCAATGAAGTAGTCTTGCTTTTAATGATCTTCGGTCGACACAATTATTGTAAACTATTCTTGTTTAATGTATCTGCATGAAATAATTCTGAGCTCATTTTAACTCAAAAAACAAAATACTTCTAATGCTTAAATACGATCGAATAGAAAGTGTTGAAATGTACAGTGGGTACAGATTTTGACTAATCATCCTGCTTTTAAGGGTGTGGGTTTGATTATGCGCAAGGATCTTCATTATATTCATCATCCACACCCTATGAGAACAAACAATGTCTTTTTTCTTCCAACTAGTTAAAAAAAGTAAATTTTTCGAAAAAACCATGTATTTGAGACAATAACACAGCTTGATTATCTCATTGTAGAAAAGAAAAATGTTATAAAAGAGGAAAAGAGAAATATTAATTATCTCAAACAAATAAATCAACACTTTTATTTTCTATTTTCTACTACAGATTTTATAAATGATACAAATGACTTTTTCATATAATTTAATATCAATTGGATTGTAATACTATAGATTTTGTAAAGCAGAAATAAAAGTAAATAATTTTCAACATTTTCCAAATAATAATAAAGTCCAACATATAAATGATAATAATATTAACAAAATATCTCCTTTCTAATCAACCTCAGTTCATCCATTGCTTCATTTAACTTCTATTCTCTTTTAGTCTTATTCAAGCATATTCTGTCTGTTTATGAACGTGATTCTTCATGTTTTTTACGTAGTGGTAATTCAAAAGCTTTTGTTAGTTTTAATGAGTTATCTTAAATATAAAGAACGTAATATTCGATGTGTCATTAAAAATGAAGATAATTAGTACAATGATGATTGTCATTTTGATCAAAGACGTTCACATTAACGGAAGTTTCTTCAGTCTAAGCTGTGATTATTTTTCTCCTCAATACTTTTATCTTTGCTTCTAATTAAAATATAAGAAAAAAAAACACGTTTGTCGGTATAAAAACTCTGTTGAGTTGAATCTATATCTGCAGAAGTACTTTTATTATTCTGCATTACTTTATTAATATTATTATTATTTTAGTATTGTCATCAGAGTATAAATGTCTTCATCAGTTTTAGAAGATATTCAAAGTAAATTGATTATTTATGGATATTCAAGTGTGATGTCTTTCAGAATTATTGATCATATATTTGTGATTAGAATTGTTATTCGACAACGTGAAAATGCATGTTCAATTTATTTATTAAGTTCAGCTATATTCAACGTTTTTTGTTTAATATTTTATGGTTTTACTCAAATATATCTTATTAATTACAGTAGTGAAACACCAGCTGCATTTGGCTTATGTAAAACATATATTTATTTATGAGCAGTCATCCTATTCCGCAATGTTGAGCATTTCAGGAACCAGTTCCGCTCCGGAATCGATTCCGTTCAATTCCGGCAACCCGATCGACACATAATCTCCGATACCCACTCGAAAATTGATCGAGTTCCGTCCAATTCCGGAATTGGTAGGAATTCCGTATAATTCCGGAATCGGTCGAACGCGATCAATCTCGACTGGGTGTCTTATGTTGTGTGTCGATCGAGTTCCCGGAATTGGACGGAATCGATTCCGGTGCGGAACTGATTCCTCCAATGTTCAACATCGCGGAATAGGATGCATTCTCTTATTTATCATGTATAACAGTACAAATAGCTAAAACGTTACTTGTGTTAGCATGTCTTGATCGTTTTCTGGTTAGAACTCGTCGTGTTAGTGTTCGATCATTTAGTATACGTGAATGAGCAGAATATTTAATATTTTTCTCTTTTATTTTCTGGTCATTATTGTGTATTGATATTCCTATAATGATGACTATTAATAATAAACAATGTGGTAGTTTTGGTGTTTGTTCAACAGTTCATACAATTTATTTAATAATATGCGTTGGATTGCTTCTACCTGTCATATCGACTACATTTGTTTAATTGATCTATCGGAATATGAGACGAATATATACTTGTGTTCAACCAATTAACAATAATATAAATGGTGGAAAGCTTTCTATTCGACGACGAGATCAAGATTTATTAAAACTAGTTATTTCGGAAATTGTTGTTTATGTTGTTACACCAGGTCCTTATTCGTTTATTTTTTTCGAAATGATGAGTATTGAATATGTTTTACCGAACAAAACTATTCATCAGATAGTGCTGCATCTTTTTATATGTATATTATTGTATCAAAACCATTTCGTGATGATTGTATACAAATAATTATCAATAGTTATCGGAAAATAACAAGACAATCTATGGTTCCAATTGTATTTCGAATAAATGAAATTATCCCACGACAAAATATTGTTACTTAAATATATCATTTCACTATATATTTCAATATTGTCTTTATATTGTTTTCTTTGTTTAAAAGAAAATATAATTATCTAATCATACAATGTACTAAATGATATAACTATGGATATGTGGTGTGGATGTTCCATTTAGATCAAGAAGGAACACCCACACTCTCAATAATCAAAGCATTTTGAGGAAATAACCTTAGTATACAACATAGTGGCAGTTAGCGTTGTTTGAATTTCACACATATCGACACACGATATTAGTGTCATATGGTAAGTGTCAATAATTGTTGATATTATATCGTGTTTTCTCTGTAAGTTGTCATATCGGTCATTTCGTGTTTATCTAGTCTCGATCTTCATTATTATTGAAATATAAAACATCTCTAAACTTGTCTTTGCCACATAAATATGGATCATAATTTGATTCTTGAGATAATATGCGTTCGTGAGAGACGAAATCTAGAGCAATATTTATGAAACGATTAGATAATGAATTGCTTTTAACTTACTTTCACTACATATTTCCTTTGGACCGATATATAAATGTATCGTATTCTGAAATATCTCATAGCTCCAGTTCATAGTATTTAAACGTGTTGTAAATAAACATAAATCTTCGTTGATCAGCAATATTTCTCTGATATAGATAGGAAATCGAAATATTGCCTTTTCAAGATGTAATAAAGCATCAATAATGAATGTCATTGCTTGTAAATCATTTACTGTTAAATCCAATTGTTTTAAATTTAAAAAAAATTGACAAAACTTGTCAATAGCCATTTTATCAGATGAAAAACACCAGTTAGTTTTTTCAACTAGAATTATTAAGTCAATTTTTTTGGCTAGACGACGCAGGAATTTTATCCGTTGAGCATAAAGTGAATCGAGATATTCTAAACGATCGATTTTAAGATATGTAACCTGACGAAAAAGAGCACGCAGATTGTGTTTTGATTTTCTTCTTCCTTCACGTTTTATATTGGCTCCTAATCGCAGACGTTCTACATAGTTGTAATTAACATAAGGTTTAATATGATCTTCTAGCGTTAAATAACCGGATGATTCTATTGTTTGTAACATAGGACCTCGTATGTATAAATCAATTGTTGGGTCATTGGATTCTAATAAATTTGGTAATGAATGACCTGTACTGTAATCAATGACAAGTCCTCTTGTTACTGATTTCCAAATTGACCAGCGGTTACATGTTGATGAGCTTTCACAATCATCGTATTGATCAAATGCAAATTTTTTAGTGAAGAGATATGAACCATACTCATCAGATGACATAAAATGGACATACCACCGTTTTTGCGTCATCCAATATGCTGTTTGAAATGGCTTCATTATTTTATCCATTCTTTTCAAGGATAAATAGGGTGGATTATGAAAATAAAATTCAAATTCAAAAGATTTCAACATGGGTGCAGATATTTTTAAAGTACTTTCCCACCATGATCCATCAAAATATTCATCAAAATCTTGATTTGTATTAGCCTGATGTTGCAAGGATAGATAAGATAATGTGGATAAATTTATATGCAAGTCAACAAAAACTGTTGTTTTCATCAAACTAGGATCAAATCCAATAATTTTTGATGTTGTTTGATCATGATTAATTGAAATTGCCGTGATTATTGAACCTTCAGAAGAATGATTATCAGCGATATCTAAATACCCAATTTTAATTGAACAAAGATTTGGCAGATATGCTTTTATATCTCGCCACTGGTTTATTGTACATCTAATTAAGTTAACATGTTGAATTGTAAAAACAATAGGCATTAATTTTAAGAGAACACAAGGTGTGCAGAATGAAATTTCGCGAAGATTTTGTAATGTTCTAATAAATCGTGTATAATGTTCAATTCGTTCATCGAAAGGAAAATTTAGATCGATAATTCTGTATAATGTTAAAGCTAACTGAGGTATTAGACTTATCAGTCGATCGATCACTTGTGAAAAAGATTCCTCAGGAATACCATAAAGGTCTAATGATCGAATACGATTGAATTGATCTAATCGATCATGGCAAAAGGTGAAAAAGCGATCCGAATGATACGCTGCACTATATTTGTTAAATTTATAAAATTTGCATGCTTGATTATGTCCGAACTCATCTACTGGAATATCATACCAACTGACACAACATTTTACCCAATCTGGACCATGTTCAGGGTCGTTATAATCTTGATGGAACTGACAGTCACAATCCTCGTAGTCGGCAACTGTTCTATTTATATGCAAACCTAGCGATGAAACTTGTGATGGTAACAGTCGAGCACATAGTTGTTTGAACTCAGGTGTATTTTCAAACAGTTCAAAGTTGGAATAGGAACGTGCAACAGTATATAGATGATGATTGACCAATGACACATGAAAATAGATATCAAATGTCGATAGATTGTTGAAGATTTTATAAAGCAATTCGACGGGTAGATTATCAATCGTTAGTCTTGAACTTGTCATTTTCGTATTTTGTCTACACTTGTTTGAATTCTAACAGCAAGGCTTCTATTTTCGCTTATCTTACTGTCCGTTAAAAAAATGTGTTTGTGTATATGAAAAAAATACTCTTGTTCGCTGTTATCTATTTTTATCACTTATCAACTCTTTGTTATTATTTTATGATATTCAACATCTATCCTTTGAAATGAAAATATACGGACTAAAGTGAGAGTGTGGGTCTAGATGAATATGGATTTGTGTACTTTATTTTAGACTTCTTAGAAGTACATTGATACAATTTTTTCACTTGCTTTAGTTATATGATGTCGCACAATAACAATCCGATGAATAATATGAAGTGCGTAATAAATAAAACGCATAATAATCGCCATATTTCATCGCAATAATTGGCAATATTGAATTCGTACAAGAGGAATTGCCAGCAGAGAGTGTTGGTGAGGATGTAGATATGAGTGCTAATGTGGTTGTGGGTCTGGCTTTGCGATGAACAAGATAATCGCACCAACACCCACACCCTCACTCGAAATCAATGAAATCAGGAGATCAGTTTGAGTTTCCCCTTGATTCAGTTCTTAAATGTTCAATAGATAATTATTTTTTGTAAATTACATAAAAACTCTAATCATTTTCAATTAAAGAATCATGGTTTAATTATATGAAACATACACAAATACTTAAGAGAGTGTCCATGACACCACCGTCTAAAATGATAGGGATCGGACGCTGAAAAATTTTGAGGGTGGGCGTGGGTGTGTTATGGTTAATATACTCATACCCACATCCTCGCCCGCACCGACGAAAATTGTGATATGGTATAAGTTTTATAAACGATTAAAACAATTTCGGCCACTTGAAGACACTGAGGAGGAGTTTTTTAATCGAAAAAACATTATAGAGATGAAAACTACGTTGATCAACACAGAAAGATTCATATGATCATCGAATAAATGAAAGATAAACTAATCCAGTTTTAAACAGATCAATCCTCTTTTGTACTGAATGATTTTTTTTATTTTCTTCGTATTTATTAACAAACAACGATAAATATGCAGTTGAAAAACTGCCGTTCGTACATGATTAAAAGCATAAAATATTCTAGAATTTTTTAAAAGTTTCTTCATAAATTAATTTATTATTGGCAATCCACCTTTTCTGTTTATAGTCGGAAGCGGATAAACAGTTCGTCCGTCTCGTCCTATTTGTCTTTTACACCAGATAAAAACTCGTTTTAATTGTTGAATAAATGTTTGACGAAAGAGTTGAGATGTTAAACAATGAATATAAAAATTATAACAATAATTCATAGTCATTAAAGTTGACACTGCACCGGTTATAATTGGACTGATTGAATTTATTGCAGATCGAAGATAAAAAATTCGATAGATAGCATAAGGAATTGTACAAATGATAAAACATATTATACTCGAAATCATTAATATGAGCATTTGTCGTTGCATTCTTTCTTTTCTTGTTGACGCAACAACCAGAGTTTGTTGAAAACGCAATTTCGAATAGACACCGACAAAACAAACAATCATTATACAACTTGGAATCATATAAGTGATTAATAATTGTAGAATAGGCCAAGTATTAAAATAAAAGATTGAATAGAATGTTCCTGAAGAACGAGCTGGTCCGCATAAATTGCTACCTGGTGCAGTAAAAGAAAATTCAGATTGAAGAACGTGTGATGCAAATAGAGTTGAACACACACATACGAAAATAATCAAGCAGATAGCTACTTTTTGTGTACAAATTCGTGCTTGTCGATAAGGAAAATGTATACGAATACATCTGTCAAGGGCAATCAATATTAGAAGCCAAGCTGATGTCACAGTAGAGAAACTGACAATAAATGTACGAAATCGACATAGATATTCACTTTGTAATGTTGTCCATTTTACAGTGAATGTAAGAAAATCACGAATAGATATTCCAAGATATAAAGTATCGGACAGAGTTAACAAAATAAATAATAATCCAGTCGATGATTGACGAAGATTTTTCGATGAGAAAATAATCAGACTACATATGTGACCAACAAAACCAAGAGGAACTGACAACCAATAACCGTACAGACTAATAGATTGACCAACTATATCTGCCATTCTTTTTTTCTTTGTATTATAACGAAAATAGACGAATTTAATCAGATATTTATTATCGTTAATCTTAAGTAAAGTATAGTATTATATCTGAAAGAGTTAATTCTAATTAAGTTAAATGCTGTACATTTCATATAAAATATCTCAATCCGAAACAGTTATAAAGTACAAATGTGAATATTAAGTTTGATAGCAGATACTCTCAGTTTACATCTCATTAAAACACGAAAAGAAGATATCTGGAAAAGAATTTGACATGATTAATAAAATATGCTAAGAAAAAAAATTATCAGTATGTCACAAATATTGTCGCGCTTTAACACTTAAATATGGCATTAGAACTTAATGGCATAGTT